GCTTTTCTTTTTCTTGTTTTTATAGGTCCCCCAGTGTGAGTCCCCCTCCAGCTTTTCTTTTTTCTTGTTTTTATAGGTCCCGCAGTGTGAGTCCCCCTCCAGCTTTTCTTTTTCTTGTTTTTATAGGTCCCCTGTGTAAGCCTCCTCCAGCTTTTCTTTTTCTTGTTTTTCTAGGTCCCCCAGTGTGAGTCCCCCTCCAGCGTTTCTTTTTCTTGGTTTTTTTTTAGGTCCTGCTGTGTAAGCCCCCTCCAGCTTTTCTTTTTCTTGTTTTTATAGGTTCCCCAGTGTGAGTCCCCCATTAGTTTTTTTTTTCTTGTTTGTATTCATTCCCAGGTGCAAGCCTCCCTCTAGCCATTTGTTTCCTTGTTTGTATACGTCTCCTGGTATAAGCCCTCCTCCAGCTTTCGTTTTCTTGTTTGTATAAGTTCCCCAGTTTAATCCCCCACCTGCATTTCTTTTCCTTGTTTTTATACATCCCCCAGTGTAAACCTTCTTCAGCTTTTTCTTTTTCTTGTTTGCATAAGTGTAAGCTCTTCTCTGGCGTTTCTTGTTTTAATTCTACCAACAAGAGAGTACAAATGAACTTAAAGCGAAAAGTTCCTACTTCTCTCTGGCTGTGCTCCAGTTTTGATTGTGTCGTGTTAGTTTTAATTCTGTTTTTAAATGTATTGAAATTAATTCCATCTATTACGACATTTTTGTGGCTTAAATCAAAACCAGTTAATGTAAAACAAGGGCCTTGATAATTGCCACTTTATGGGGGCAGTGGGGGACGGTTAGGTTACGGTATGAGAAATTTGGAAATACTGTGCTAAGTTATTTTTGTATTGATGACATTTGTAATAATAGACAGGTAACCTAAGTATGACTTTAACAATATCTATTTCTAGTATGAGAGTATGAAATACTAGCTGGAATAAATCCTATTGTCAAAATAAAAGAAAGTATTAATTTCAGATAGCAGTGACTGAAAAGCTCTATCCATGATCATGCAGCACTTGTATCTTCTATGAAAGCTTTATTCTGTTCTTAATCAGTGAAGCGTTCACTGTAATTAAGAGGATAATTTCCCTTTAGCATTGTGATCATCGATGGAAATTCCGTTGGCTTTCAATATAAATGTCTTGTTGAATGTGATGACATGTATATAAGGTGTAACTAATTTCTCATTTTTATGATTCGTACCACATCATTAGGAATGTCTATTCCTCTGATCCTGTGATATATCAAAGAGCGTGAGTTTAAAGGGAAACATTGTTGTCCCGTATTTTGCTCAAAATATTTGTTAAATAACCTTGACTACATGGTGCATTTATCGTAAGGTTGAGTGGGCATAATATATCGGACGCCCGCGACTTGTTTCTGTCATTACAAAGTTTGAACATAGCACAACTCCCTCAGTTTGTGGTTAACATTCTTATGCGCACTAACGAGACCACTCCATGCAGACAACATTTGATACTTCATGAGATTTACTTGTTTTTGTCAACTGGTATATTTTCCAAAGTGGTATATCTTCCAAAATATCTTCCAAAGTAAGTTAAAGGATGAACTTCGTAATTGACCTCGCTCACCGTGGAGTCTCTGTGGCTCAGTGGTTGAGCATCAGTGCGTGGAATCCGAAGGTCCAGGGTTTGATTCCTCATGGGGACTCAGAATTTTTTTCTTTGTCCCACGCTCGTGACAAGACGAAAAAACCTTCTTTCTCTAAGTTTAAGGTGTTTGATGCAATTTGGGTTGAGTAGAAGCTGGCTTTTCTCTCACTTTTTGTACAAACCTAAACACAACTAATTTTTCTCCTACTCATATTTTAACTTAGCTTTCAACCTCTGACAAATGATAAAATGATGAAGTTTTGATGCTGATTGAATCTTTTCCACACAAACACCCTTAGTTTTCTTCTTTTCTGTGACAGATAATTTGAGCTTGTTCATTGGTATTCTACAAGGTTCATGATTCCAATCATGGTGTCTCAACACACAGCATTCACATTGAAAATGTTCCTAGTTATTAATAATACAAACTTTGCATGACAAATCTGAATTTCTTTCCATGTTTTATTGTTACTAAATGCATCATGACCACATACAGATGATTGCATTGGGTTCTCAAATATATTGTAGCTAGGTAAATAAGCAGCCAGGATTTAGGCAGGATCCCACCACAATCCCATCTGGGATCCCAGGTGGTGATGGTGGGATCTTGCCAGTGCAGGTGGGGATCCTTCCTTTCCTGCCTGGGACTTTCAGGTAATCCTGACTGGGATCCTGCCTTGCACCCAGCAATCCAGGTGGGATTAGCGGGATCCCATCTGTCACACCTGTGTCTCAAGGTCATTCCAGGTGGGAAAGGTGGGATCCCATCTGGGACTTATAACATGTTTCTCTCTAAAGCTTTTTGCTGTTGAACTTCAAATTGAAATTAGGAACTTTTAAACCACAGTTTGGAGTGCGACGATCATATAAGCGAACAGTGCATTTTGGCCAATGCATAAACCAATTTAAACCTTGGTTATACCTGTACTCCTAGGCTTTCTTAGCAATTACCGTACTTTAAAAAATAACCATTTATTTAAGTTTTCTTTAAAAAAAAAGAAGAAGGAATTGGCTCTAAGAGTTATGGTTGAGACTTGGAGCATATTATGGTTTGACAAATGGCATTAATTTAGCTCTTATTACGATCATCATTGCGCACAAAACAATTGGATTCAAACTTGGAATCATTTGGTGAGTGCAAGTTGTTGAACTTTAAAAGGAAATTGGAATATTTCAGACCACAATTCGAAGTGCGATCATATGAGCCAAAAGCACATCTTAGCCAATAAGTGCACCAACTTTGAATTGTTCTCCAATGCATGTTTCACAGTAGTTTCAAAAGTAACCATTCATTTCAAAATTTTCAACGCGAATTCTATGCTCAGTATGCTGCATACAGGTCTCGCAAACCGTTGAACTTTCAGAACTGTCCATGTGGTGTGTTACTTGGGATTTTCTATAGGATGCTTAGTATTCCTGGCTGGGATCCATCATACCACTTGTAGACAGTAGACAAGATCCAAGGTAGAAGGGGCAGGATACGTATATTTTATTCGCCAACCGGGGGTTCCGTATTGGGAAAAACTGTGCCCGAGGTCTCGACTACTGCTCGAGGCTGTAGGCCGAGGACAGTACTCAAGACAGAGTGCACAGTTTTTCCCAATTCGAATCGACCTAGCTTTGTGAACAGCATTTTTATTTTTTTCTAACACTGCACGAAATTCCTGCCAAAATAACCCGAATGATTTGGGGCTGTAATTACGGCAAGATCCTCCTTAAGCTGAACAATTTCTGAGCGATTAAATGGTCGTTAAAACAGAGATAATGCAAATTAACCGCGAAAGATTTTTATTTACGTGGCGACAAAGGTGATTTAAAAGGCTTCCAAACAAACTTTAAAACATTATTTTTACAAGTATCTGTCACAATCTGACACCTGTCAATTGGAGAGCACGTAAGAAAAATAAGCGTTTGTACACTTTTGAAAGAAAAAACAAGGGTACGGGTTTGGTAAACAAACTCAAGTTCAATGACTGTCAAGACAACTTTTTCTTCAAACCACCTGATGATCTAACGGAAATTAATATTCACTTCCATCGATGATTAGCGTACGATGAATATCTCTGTAAATTGCAAAGAAAGTAATTGTAAGTAAATCCAAATGTAAGTTTTGAAATTGTGGGAGTTTGCTCGTTCGTTTGCTGGAATGACGCGTGTAAATCCGGTCTTTTTCCACTGAATAAATTAATTCAAACGAGACACTGTAACTAGAACCAAGGGGAAGTTAATGCGGCGTTTTCTCGTTTAATTCATTCGGTTTTCGCGGTGTAATTTACGATGCGTATTTGTATTAGGACTTTAAACTTCACCAGCGACAACCAAAAAATTGTTAGAGAGAATTCAGATATCAAATAAATTAAAGTTCCGTGCCCTCTGAGAAAAAAAAATACCACCTGGGATTGTATGGGGGCTAAGTTAAGATCTCGCATTGGATTGGTTTTTCGGATTCTATGTGCATGAAGCGGGATGCCTGGAATTGTAGCTGGCACTGACGGCATCCCACATAAAAATTAGGGCAGGATCCCACCCAGAATTATAGGTGGGATTTACAGGATCTCACCCGAAAATTTCGGTGGGATACCATGTGGGAAGTTCCAAAATCCCGCTCAGGATCCCAGATTGGATTGGTGGGATCCAACTTAGGATTGGTGGGTCTTGGCCTCCTGGTTTTACTTGGGGCGCAAAGGACAAAATGTTTTCAGACAGTTTACTGTTAACTGCATCTGTGGTATCGATGTTCATTTTTCTCTTTTATGACTCTATGAACAAAGAAATATGATGGCCCTACTTCAGTTACTACAACTAAAAGCTAGCAGTCTCACATTGAGAATTTAATTTTAAAATTAAGACTTTGATCAAACTGGATGTATGTGTTTAGAATTAGGAAATATCACTTGGGCAATATACTGCCGCATATAATCCATCAAGTAATTTTTCTGGTATGCGAATGGTCTAAAAGCATCACTTGATTGCACATACCTGAGCTAAAACTGGGGCATATCCCAGGATACCCCAACTGATATTCCCCAATTTTCGAACCTCACGCGTACTATGAGAAATGCTTTCGTTTGAAATTTAATTCCAGGTGAGGGAGTGATTAGCTATTGTTAAGAAAAAGGGACATGTTTGTTTGCTCATGAAGTTGTACCAGACAACACCGAAAAGTAAACATCCCGTGTGCAGCTAATATATGATCATTCGTAATCATTTTTTCCATTTGTCGCAAAAATATGCTCATATATTTGTCCTTTGACGTTATCATTTCCTCAAAGGTAACAGTTTCCCTCAAGCTTTGCTCCTGGAAACCTGTTCTCATTTCAGAACAAATAATGTTCGCAGACGAATATCTGTGCATATTTTCATGCCAAATGGAGGCGTTTGTTTCTGTTTTCCCCTGGTTTTTAGCTGAGCATATTTAATCACATGATGATTTGAGACCAATCAAGTGTGAACAAATATATTTCGTGCATAATAACGAACAATAGTTGGCAGAACAGCTAGGTAAGCTGTTGCACACACCCCCCCCCCTTAAAAAAAAAGAAAAAGAGAAAAAAGGTAAAATGAAATGCAATAGAATTAAAAAATGACTTCTGAGGTTTGGTGCAGAAGTTATGTAAGTGGCTCAATTTTTTTTAATTACAATTCTCTCCAAAGCACTGGCAATCGTCTGTGAATACTGATGTATTCACAACAATTTCAGATAAGTTTTAAATGTCTCTTCCTAAGTCAGGTTTAACTTATGCAAGTCATGAAGTCATTTGGTGCATTTGTATTAATAATTATTTCTCTTATGCTTCTTGTTAGGTACTGATACTTTATGAAATGGTGCTTGATAGCTGGAAATCGGTTATCAAGTTTCAAACTGCTCTTGGAGGAGTTACGTTTATTTTGTCTCTTGGATCGCTGAGTTACATTCTTGGCACTTTACGAGAGTATCATGACCAAGATATATTGAACTTCAACTGCGATCCCAAACCCAGTGATTTTATCAAACAACGTTGCTATGACAGCTACATTTCTACAGTTACCGAGCCGTATGGGTTAATACCTCAGGATTTTGTTGCCATAACACTCGGTGTTTTGTGTTTATGCGGGGTCAGCTTTGCAATTTGTGGTACTGTGGCCCTTCGAAAAAGACCAGGAGACAGAAATAACAGAAACGCAGAAAGATTTCTTCTCATCTACTTCATCCATGTATTACTTCGAATATTATTCCTGGGTGTCATGTTAGGGCTGGTCTGCAGTTACCACACACTTTCTTTACCATCCGTTTTTAAGTGTGATAAGCAGACCAACAGTCAAACCACGCCAAGTCCTCTTAACCAGACAAAAATATCGTTGCAATGTAATGATTATCGTCACAAGGGGAAATCAGACCAAACTATAGCTTTTATCTCTGTTTGTGCCATTGTCATGGTGCTTAGTATATGCGAAGTCCTGCACTTGCGCTGTAACAGGAAAAACTTTCTGTCCGCGCTCATTGGAGACACTGGTGATTACATGTTACTGCCATGTAAGTAAATATTTAAAAGTTTAACTGCTAGAAAATTACCATAGCCAAAACACTGGTGCAGAAATGTTATGGAGGGTTACAATTATTTAATGGCTAAACGAAAGAAAGAGATTTGGCGTGAACATAGAGAAGACAACCCACAAAAATTTACAGGGGGGAGGGAGAAGAGGTGGTGTTTGTTAGTCTATTACACTTCATAATTCCAAACAATCTATTTGGGAGAGAGTCTTATTGGTACTGTTTGGTTCACATGGTCAAATTCGTAATATGGGAGGAAATTTAGAAGCAGTTGCGTTCACTCATGGAAATAAAGTAAAGCTTTATGCGCTCGCCGAACAACTGCAGTGCCGCCATTTGACCTTTTCACGAACTGCAACGTTAAAAACCCGACTCTGCATCCTGCTGGACGCGACCACCCAGTCTAAGGCCTGGAATCAGAAATGCGGGCTCTAATCTTTTTATTGCTAAGAGGGTCACAAGTATACACTACAGAACTTAAATTGTATCTGTAATACTCGTTTGACTCTCCCCTAACTTTCTGTATGCAACAATCGCCATCAGTTTGCTCATTCGTGGGTGACATCTTTTTGAGATCTCGTGGGTATTTGTGGTCACTTAATTTTGGGACGAATACGAATCAACCACTGGGTCGGGTACGAACGACTCAAACTGGGTATAAATCGACTGCGTGCGAAAAGTACACGAAAATGACAACCTAGAGAACGAGTCTTGAAGATCATCTATGTATGCTAATATGAGACCAAAATTATTCAAAAATTACATTTCGAGGTTATCATGTTTTTGATCTGACATGTTAAGACCCGTTGCGTTCATATTATGTCTTGAAATGATTAAATTGACATGTATTCGTGCTTTAGTTAGTTACAATAAATATTTCACATTTAACACAAAAGAACTACCTTTTATGTCCTAGAGTGGATAATGGAAGATGTCACTAGGATGAGTCTATTGCCAGGCTGCATCCAACAATGATAATTACTGAAGGGTCAGTTGAGGGCAGATGTTGGAATTTGAAGCTACGAGGGGGTTCAAGAATATGAAATGTATATGAAACCAAAAGTATTTAAAACGTTCATTATGAGCTTATCATTTTTCCATGTCACAGGCTAAGACCCGTTTCGTTCATATTACTTGTGTAAATGATTAAATTGACATGTACTCGTGTTTTGGTTAGTTACAATAAACATTTCACATTTATCTCAGATAAAGTTTAAAGGAAGCATCATTTTGAACAGGTTTACCTGAGAAACCGACCATCACAAATACAGAAACGGAAGTTGACAAGGATTTCATTGTTATGTGGTCAGAGGCTGAGGCCAACAGCAGTAATCGCAGCATTAAATACCGTCTGGAATGGAGGAAACAACCGGTGACAGGATCCACAGAAACGGCTCAACGAGAAAATATAAAGAGAACACACCTCAAGATTACTGGTCTTGAGTATGACATAGAGTATGAAGTGAAACTGTTTGCTGTCAACGAACAAGGAGACAGTGAGCCAGATGTCAGAACATTTAAGACAAAGAGTGGTATGTACCTTTATTTAAGACTTCTCACTTTACTTTTGGTAGAATTGTTTGAAATGAAATAAAATAAATACTGTTGGGTCCTAAATACAGGAGTAACACTCTTTTCATGAGGCGAAGAATTGTGAAACTTTGTGACAACAGGTTGAATACTCATGCTGTAGCTCTCATATAAGAAAAAATAATTATTTGCCAAAAATTTTTTACTATCCTCACCTAAATTAAATTACATTGATAAGACTTGTTATTAATTTATGATGATGGAAAGAGGAGTTCATCAATGTTTTATCAACTTTGGTACTGTTTGGTACTGCTACACCAAATGACGGTAAAATAAAAGCAACAACCAACGCCTGTCAATGTTCCATTGACCCTATTTCAGCAAGAAATAGAAATATCAATGAGACACAACTTCCCCCCTTATACCTAATAACTCCCTAATAACAGTGGAAAAGTTGAAAACACAGCTGAAGCAGCCTAGGGCTAAATAAAAAGAAGCAACAAAGGATGCTTCTGCTGCTTTACTGGCTCTCCTTGACTACCGCACAACTTCTACTCAAGGCCTTCACAGAAGCCCAGTACAACTGCTCATGAATCGATAAAATGTGTTAGCCGAGAAGTATCTTTTACCTCCCAGAGTTGAAAATGTAAGAGGTCACTAGGATGAGTCTATTACCAGGCTGCATCCAAAAATAATGATCACTGAAGCATCAAATAAAGGCAGATGTTGGAATTTGAAGCTGTGGGGTGGTTCTACGCAGTTGCGTTCACTCATGGAGATAAAGTGAAGCTTAAAGCTCTCGCCTAAAAATTGCAGTGCCGCCATATGACCTTTACTCCGCAGCTTTAACCACCCGACTCTGCATCCTGCTTAGCGCGACCATTAAATTTAAGGCCTAGAATCAGAAATGCGGGGTCTGATATTTTTGTTGTTGAGAGAGTCACAAGAATACACCACAGAACTTTACTTGTATCTGTAATACTCGTTTGACTCCTTTCTTACTTTCTGTATGCAACAACCGACATCTGTTTACTCAATCGTGGGTGACCTATTTTGTGAGATCTCCTGGGTTTTGGTGATCACTTAATCTGGGAACGGGTGCGAATCAACCAGTGGGTCGAGTACGAACGACTCAAACTGGGTATAAATCGACTGAGTGTGAAACGTCCACAGGTATAACAGACTAGAGAACAAGTTTTGTAGATCATCTGTATATGATTATATGAAACCAAAATTATTTAAAACGTACATTTCGAGCTTATCATTTTTTTTGGATCTGACATTTCTTTGTTGGATCTGACATGTTAAGACCGGTTGCATTCATATTACTTGTTGAAATGATTAAATTGACGTGTATTCGTGTAGCTAAAATAAGTATTTCACATTTATCAGAGACAAAGTTTAAAAGAAGCTCATTTTGAACAGATTTACCTGAGAAACCAACCATCACAAATACAGAAATAGATTATTTCACAAATCACCAAATCCTTGATCAACGTGCACCCGTCAAAACTATTAAACAAAGAGCGAGACCAAATTCGTTTATTAATGACAACATTCGCAGCTTGATGAGGACAAGAGATTATTGGCAACGACTAGCTAGACAAACAAACGACCCGGCTATTTGGTCAGGCTATCGGAATTTTAAACGTGAAGTCAAACGGGAAATTCGATTCGCACAAAGGGAATTGGTAGAAGAACAAATAAAACAAAACCCTAACGATGTTGGAAATATCTGGAAAACAATCAGATCGTGAATTCCAAAAAAGCCTGCGAATATTAAGAGTTTTACTAAAGACGAACAAACAGTTGCAAATGAATTCAACCGGTTTTTGAGCTCGGTTGGGAAATCTACGATGGAAAAGACCCAACTTGCAAGAAAATTCAATTATATGCCCGCGCAAGATCCATGTACTCCGAAAAATTACATTGTCGCAGACCAGTTCTCTATTAACACCGTGGAATGTTCTTAAGTTAAAGGTATTGTTAACTTAATACCTGACAAGAGAGTCCCAGGAATTGATAAGGTATCACCTCGCTTAATCAAAGAGAGTTTGCCGATTTTTGCCCCTAGTATCACTTCCATTATTAACGCTTCTCTAACAAGCGGAGTTTTTCCAACTTCTTGGAAAATTGCCGAAGTCTGTCCAATTCTTAAGAACGGAGATCACGAAGAAGCCAGTAATTACAGACCAATTTTACTACTGCCAAACTCTCTAAGGTATGCGAAAGAGTAGTATTGAACCAGCTGACTCCGTATCTAACATCCAACTAGAGAATATCAGTGAAACAAAGCGGCAACAAAAAATGGCACTCTACCGAAACATCTTTAATTTCTACTACTGATTCTTTTCTCCACGCTATCGACCGGATGAAAATTACTGCGGTCGTATATCTTGATATGAGCAAAGCTTTTGACAATATAAATCATTAATTCTTTAAAAGAAAAACTGAAGAACATTGGTCTATCACCCTCTGCACTTCAATGGTTCGAAAGCTATCTTTCTCGGAGATACCAGGCAGTCCGTATAAACTCTGTTTTATCTGATAAATTACCAGTAGGCAGTGGCGCACCGCAGGGAAGTGTCCTTAGAGCATTACTATTCAGTATTTATGTAAACGATCTACCAAATGTTTGTTAAAATTTTTCAACTGCTACGTGGATGACTAAGCTCCTGTTGTCTTTTACCAAGAACGACTCTGCTTGGATCACTCAAAGTCTTAATTCCGACTTACAACGGATTCGCAATTGGTGTTTCGAAAATTGTTTAATGCTTAATCCAGATAAGACGAAACTAATGGTTTTTGGCAGCCGAGGAATGTCTTCGAAATTACTGGACTTTAAATTATCCCCACTAGGAAAAAGACATTAACCCGGCTCAATCAGTCAGAGACCTTTGAGTAATTTCTGATCCCACGCTATCTTTCGATATTTGTATCATCTTGCATGTCGAAATTATCTCAAATAAGCCGTATTAGATTCGTTTTCGATAAATAACTGCTTAAAATCATAATAAATGCGCTTGTTTTCAGTAAACTATATTACTGTTCATCAGTATGATCATCCACCTCAGCCTGTAATATTCGTAAATTGCTATACGTTCAAAACTTTGCCGCGCGAACTATCTGCAACGTAAAGAATTATGACCATATCTCTCTTGTATTAAAAAGCTTACGTTGGCTCTCTGTAAAATCACAACTGTATTGCCGAGATGCTACTTTAACATATAAATATATGACAGATCAAGCCCCGGAATACTTAACATGTATGTATATAACAAGAGGCAGCGTATCTAAAAGTATAACCAGAAACTTTCAACGACTAAACATTCCTCCTTTTAAAACTGCAACAGGACAGAAAACGTTTTATTGTAAAAGTGTATCTATCTGGAACAAGTTAGATCCAAGCCATAAATTATGTAAGAGTTTCGCTTCCTTTAAGAGAGCTCTAAAAAATCACGTTTTGAATGAATTTTTAAACTGACCATATTTTATTTAAAGATATATAATTCGTATTTTATTGTGCGTATTTTAATTTGTGATCCAATTTCTTCACTGAAAAGCCCCAGATGGGGATGTGTTCTGTAAATGTATGTAAATGTTTGTGTACTTTTCCCGTCTAAAGAAGGCAGCGATGACGTGATTTTTTGCTCACACAGGTTTGAATAGCTTAAACCCTCTAAACTCAAATGTGAAAGAACAGAAACCAGTTTTTTTAAAAAAGTTCCTCATTAACACGTTGACCGAACGCTAATCAATATGATATTTGATATGTTTTGTTCACCTTTTTCGTCACGATACAGAATCATTTGTCAGAATTTAGCCGTTTAAAATGTTTAGAAAATCAATTTGTGTGTTCTTAATGCTCTACCCTGCTATCTTTTCTTTTTAAAATTGTTGAAATCTAAGATTTATGCATAATTCTGCTGTCACGTTAGCAAAATCACCAAAAGTTTGACGTCACTAAGACGAAGAAAATGAATAAGTGAAAGATGTTTTTACATTTCTATAATTTCGAACATCTTATTAGAAGAAATCCACCGCAGTTTTCTATAGTCTGGTCTGGACTTGAGATATATCACCCAAGAAAGAAAGAGTACTTTTGACCAATTAAAAAAAAAGTCGGCTAACGAGTGTTTTTAAATAAATCATGGCTAACCTCTGTATGAACTCATATCAAAATTGAACGCCTTCTAAACCCCTTATATATCACAAAATTTAGGAACACAAACAATTTCTTGCTGCATGCAGTGTGTTACGAGGAGAAAGCTTGTCAACTTTTGAAATTCTTGATGTCGCAAGAGGTCAAAAAAGGGCTTTTTGCAGCTCTGACTATTGAGAGCTCTCAAAAAATTTTTTGAACGTATTTCCAGAAACCGACGTGGTTTTATTTACTTACTAACAAAGATAATTTAATGCGCAAAGTTTGAGGCAAAACTTTTCTCTGATGTGAAAGGCCTTGGACCACTCTAACAGAGATCACCACTTAATTGATACACAATAGCGTAAGAGATTGACTTGATAACCCATTAAATGCAGCGGATATTGATCATGTCGAGTTCAGAGTCTGCCTAGTTTCCAAGCCCCTCGACCGTGTAGTGTTCTCAAAATTTTGCACCCTCAGAGAGAAATGTTTTATTTTTCAGTTGTTTTCAAAATGAAAAAAATATCTGTTTGATTCCGGTTTTTTTTTCATGTTATTATGAATTATCAAACTTCGTGTCAATAATATCTGCTTCAGCCTTCGGCTTCGTCAGATAACTCAGACCTAAGTGGTGATATTTCACGATATCATTCTCAGTGTCATCGTATAATTGCTTATTTTTCCGAGAGTCATGGCGTCATATAGCGTGTCGGTAAGAATGCCTCATAAAACTAACAACTAATTCTTTTTCAGATGGATCTGACCCAACTGGAATTATTGATAATATTCTCCAGATTTTCACTTCTCCTTTGACGACATCTACACCAGACTTAAAGTCATCTACAGAAAGAAAACGAAAGGAACAGCAACAGACCGAGTTGTAACGATGTCTGAAATCTTCAACCAGCACGAAGAATGTGAAGAACCAAGAGTAGTGTTAATTGAAGGGAAGCCTGGTATGGGAAAGACCACTTACTGTAAAAAAGTTGTTTTCGACTGGGCCTCAGGAAAACACGCAACCGGAAATTGCTTCGCAAACATCGTAATAGTGCTTTTGATCAAATGTCGTGATGTTCAGTCTGGCCTTTGGGAGGCCATTGAAGATCAACTTCTGCCTCGAGAAGTTGGTGAAGACCAACGTGAGAGATTCTTCGACTTCATTCGCCACAATCAATCTAATGTTCTTCTGGTACTCGATGGATTGGATGAAGTTTCTGAGAAGAAGCTACCTATGTTTTCAGAAATTATTCAAGGGCGAGTACTGCCAAACTGTCGCGTGGTTGCTACGGCACGACACGAAGCTGGAGTCAAAGTTCGAAAATACTGCGACACGCTGTTAGAAGTTGAGGGATTTACTGAAGAAGATGTACAATCCTTCATCATAAGGTACTTCAAAGACGAACGAAACTTGGCCATGCAGCTTATCAAACACCTGTTTATTGATCGCAAGTTATATGAAATATTGACGAATCCTCTCAACACTGCGCTTCTTTGCCTGGTCTATGAAGATTTGAAAGGTGTATTTCCTGAAAGCAGAACGAAGCTGTACATGGAAATAGTGGAGTGTGTACTAAGGAGGTACAGAACAAAGCAGCAACTACCAGAAAACGGTGAAGACCTTGTTGACCTTTACGAAAGCCAATTGAAACACCTTGGTTCGATAGCTTTGAAAGGTTTACTTGAAGACAACTTGGATTTTGACGAGAAGGAGCTTGGAAAACACAAAGCAAGCGATTTACCTGGATTTGGATTTCTGTCAGTTCAGCCTGGAGGCAGTAAACTAAGACCAACTAGACGTTATAGCTTTCTTCACAAGACTTTCCAAGAATTCTTCGCAGCCTTCTATCTCAGTTGTCAGCTTATCCAGAAAGAAATCAGTACGAACAGCATAGCTGCTGGCAAAAAATATCGCCATCAACTGAAAGAAGTGCTTCTGTTTACATTTGGTATGCTAGCAGCACGATGCGAGGAAACAGTGGTGAACCTTCTGAAAAGCATAGCAACACAGTTAAACCAGGAAGAAGAGGAAGACGTGGACGTTATATTAGAGTGTGTTAATGAATGCAAAAAGAAGAACAAAAATGTTGATGAAAAATTGGCTACCGCTCTTGGCGCTTCTCTTCAAACTGAAACTGTTAAAGTTTCAAGTGTAAAAGTGGATGAAACTCTAGCTGTCTTTTTAAGCAACTTTCTGAAAACAAATACAACTGTGACAAAATTAACATTGAGTATCTCTTCGCAAGATGGGGTTGCCGCTCTTGCAGAGTGTTTGAAATATAATGCATCGCTGGAAACGTTGAGTTTAATTTGTAATGGAATTGGTAATGATGGTGCTGCTGCTCTGGGTGAGTGTTTAAAATATAACAAATCGCTAACAAGGTTGGATTTGATGGAATAACAAATTATAATAAAATTGTGATGATGGTGCTGCTGCTCTGGGTGAGTGTTTGAAATATAACAAATCGCTGACAACTTATAATGAAATTGGTGGTGATGGTGCTGCTGGAGTGTTTGAAAATAACATCGCTGACAACGTTAAAATTTCTATGGAATTGGTGATGGTGCTGCTGCTCTGGGTGAGTGTTTGAAATATAACAAATCGCTGACAACGTTAGATTTGAGTTATAATGGAATTGGTGATGATGGTGCTGCTGCTCTGGGTGAGTGTTTGAAATATAACAAATCGCTGACAACGTTGGATTTGAGAAATAATCGAATTGGTGATGATGGTGCTGCTGCTCTGGGTGAGTGTTTGAAATATAACAAATCGCTGACAACGTTGTATTTGAGACATAATCGAATTGGTGATGATGGTGCTACTGCTCTGGGTGAGTGTTTGAAATATAACAAATCGCTGACAATGTTGAATTTGAGTTGGAATTGCATTGGTTATGATGGTGCTGCTGCTCTGGGTGAGTGTTTAAAATATAACAAATCGCTAACAAGGTTGGATTTGAGTAAAAATGGAATTCCTGGTGATGGTGCTGCTGCTCTAGGTGAGTGTTTGAAATATAACAAATCGCTGAGAACGTTGATTTTGAATCATTCTAAAATTGGTGATGATGGTGCTGCTGCTCTGGGTGAGTGTTTGAAATATAACAAATCGCTGACAACGCTGAATTTGGGTAGCAATAAAATTGGTGATGATGGTGCTGCTGCTCTGGTTGTTACGTAGGAGTGTCATCCACATGTGACAATACTTGCAATAAATAGAACCCCTCTAGGACATGGCTACCTTGCCTTATGACCAACTTTAAGAAGCGTTTACGTCAGGAATAAGCAGCGATTAATGACTCTGACCTTGAACAGGGTAAATGTACAGTAGCTTCCATTTATCGATATCAGTATTAGTATAAGACTTACGTAGCATCTGTTTGCCAAGATTATTTACTTTTGTAAGAGCTTTTATAAAAGCGTGTACGTTTAGTCAAGAGACCGTTACACTTTATTACAATCTTATCTACACAACTTTTACCTTGTCACGTTTAATGGATAAAGCTGTTAAAAGAAACTATGCTTCATCTGTAACGCGCGTGCGTGTAAACCACCAGATTATCCGCGCGAGGATAATTTGGAAACATTGGACTGCCTCGGATTTTGTTGTAGTTGAAAATCGGATGTAATATTTTTTGTCTTTAGTAATAAATTCTGCTCATATATATATATTTTCTAGAGGGACTGCCATAATTGGTTTAAGGTTAGAGTAATTATTCTTTGGTGATCAGTTACTTGATTCTCATAAACTTACTTTAGTGTGATAATGTGCTGACACTTTTAAGTCCTGTGAGAAATTTGAAGTTGATAATTCTTAGGGTGCAAAGAGTTAATTAATAGAGTTGTAGCCATGTTGTATGGTAAGACTCTTTATGATGACTACATGAGGCTTTGTTGTAGGCTGTGAAGAACAATCTATTTTTCGAAGTGAACTTTTTTTAGAAAAGTTGTTACAAGACATTTTTTAATTTTGTAAGGGTATGTTTACTTGAACCATTTATGTATTTCTTAAGACGTAACTGATATAAATAAAGGTATTTTCAGTAGAATTTCAGTTTTTCTCTTCTATTTTTTGTTGATGCGTATACTTTTTTTGCGTTCATCCAGAAAGTCCGTTTGATTACGATGCTCCTTAGCCTGCTGCTTCCTTTCTTCAATTCCCTTTTTTCGTTTGATATTTCTTGTAAACTGACCCATGGTCGATGCAATTTGGATGTTTTAGGGGGTGGGTTTTAATCTGCTTACACAGAAAAACTGGGTGAAAGAGTGACTTGTCTTGCTAACTGAAATCAGAGAATACCTATGGCCAACTCGTGCATAGAGTTCTTCATCTAGCGATGAAATATGGTTGTGAACCTGTAATTATATTTCTTGCAGCAATGCAAGGTTGCTCTTATCTCAAAAGCCGAGCATGGTAACCATCAACTCCGCTGAGAAATAAACGCATATATAGTCTTTAGAAACAGCACAAAATAGTATCCTGCGTTTATCGAATTTCTGTTCGCAAAATTTGTCAAATTTAGACGCTGCAATCCAAGTTTTTCTTCGCCTGCACAAGCCAAATTTTATTATTCTCATTCATATGTCACGTTCCGCCTCAGCTGCTCAAGAAATGGTTGAATTACAGCGCAACAGTCTTTGTTTACAGCCTTAATCCTCTAACTCCCAGAGATCAAATTTGTAATTCTCCTTACTGTCAACCATACAATTCTTATAATGTTAGTTCAGAGAATTTAGTATTGAATCAACTAATTATCCCCAAATTGATATTTTTCTTAATTCTCATCACCTATCTGGTTGATATTGTATTGATATTGTGAGGAGAAATTCTGTCTTGGTTACTCATGGGAGTTAAAGAGTTGACTCCCGCGTGCATCTGATAACAAAACTCTTTAAGTTTTCCACCTCGGGACAAATTACCTCAGAAGGCATTTTAGGCTATCGCAATATTTTTGTCTGACTGAAAATAAACATATGCGGTAGTGAATTCCACAAATTTTCTTTTGTCAGAAAAGCACAGGATTATTTTCGTCCGCTTCTGACCGATTCAGTCGCCAATGCACAGTTTTCATAAGATAATTGAATTTAATCACGGTTCATGTTTGACATCAGATCATAAACAAGCGAAGCGATTCACAGTAGTGGGTTTGTGCCTGAACTCGATAAAATTTTTTTCACATGCAAGATTATATCTAAAGCAACGATGCTTAATATGTAACAAAGCCTTACTAACGTCACGTGCGGTTACTACTCCAATGTGGTTTCGTGCTCGAGCGAGTTCGGGACGACTAATTACCAGTGTCTACATCTTAGTGAGTGAGTGACTCATTTGCATATCTGAGTCTTCATAAAAACTCTTTTGCACGAGTTAAAAATGAGAAAGGAAAGAGAAAAGAGAGAAAAGATATTGACCATAGCAACAGGTTACCCAGGTGTTCAAACTTTCCCCACCCCCTCCCCTCCTCGGTTGTTTATTTCTGAGAGAGAGGTAGGAGCGGGAAAAGCAAGAAAAAAGGATGAGGGAAGAGTGAATTAAAACCTGGCTCTGTACCACAGGTTCACCAGCCTTTAAACAATATAAAACGAAAGGAAAAAGAATTAATGGAAGAGATATAAAGTGCCTTGTTTTTTTTGCTTTTTTTTGCGTTTTCTGGTTAATAACTGTATTCAAAATTTGAAATTATCGACCTTAGTGAGTTCTCCTTGACCATTTTTTTGCGCATTAAAAGTGCAATTTGGCGAACAAAAAGTGTCCCCATTTAGCGCGCGGCCAAAACGATCATGTTACGTAGCTGTGACATAGAAAACTGTGCAGAAACTTTGTCGCAGAAAGGAGGAATGAAGAGGAGACGACGAACGGACGTTGCGCCAAATGAGGTTAGATAAAAGAATGATAGACCTACACTGGATATTTCTATACACCACTTTCCAAAGGATGTAGCTGTATGGCCAAAATGGACGCGTTTCCATCGTAGTCATAGGGGAGATTTTACTCTTTAAAGTCGTCGGCCTTATGCTCCGTTTCGGCTTCGAAGACGGCTGTCACGAACACATACCACTGGTCAAATCAGGGGAACTTAGATTGCCAGTGAATTCAGCTGAAAAGAATGCTGATTAAGGGGCCTATTCCACATCGGACACGATTATACCACATTCTTTTCGGCTGACATTACGCAAGCGAAGAATGGTGAGCTTCTCAATGTTGCTTATTTCACGCGCTTGAAAGGTACTTATACTCTTTGTCTTTCTACATGATTACATTTGCGCTTTTCTGATCGTTTGATAATCCTACCAGTTGTAGTTTCCATCGAATTTTACAAACAGAAATACATCATTTGTATTAAAAGTCAAGCCCTTTCCTGAGCTGACCGGTATCCTGTTGCCTGAACAGTGCGAAACCTCTGGCGGATATTGGCATAAACACAAGCTCGAAGGGGCCTTGTGTTCTACCCACCTGGGTTTCCGAAAATCCATCCCACGAGCCATCAATTCCCCTATGCCCTCAAGAAACTAAAAGTAGCAAAAATAGCAATGTCATCGTGATAACAGCACTGCAACGCGACGAATTGTGAAACACAAATACTATTGAATTTGATATTAGCGAATCCGAGTGCTGTATGAAAGTCAGTGCATACGAAATATTCATTTACAAAACTGATGTCCGCAGTTATTTGCCAGTGAGTGAAATGGGTCACGTGGCAATGCTGCACTCAAACTAAAGAGGTCTTTCTCTATTAAAAGTCTTATTGATGAATATAAACTCACTCGTTTTCATTTAAACGGCTCGACGACGATAGCCTCTACCTTTACAGGAAAGGAGCAACTTGCAGTAAAACCAATCGATGACTTTTCGGTGAAAATTATCGTGCGTGCTTCGTGATTCATCTGATTCTTTCGATGCTGCCGTCAAAAGTAAGCTTTTGGTTTGCCAAACAGCAACGAAACCCAAGAGCACTGACCATGCAAGGCGAACCTTTGCCGCACCTAATACGAAAGAATAATTTGTTCGGGCAACAGAAAAGAACACAGCTTCCCATTCTTGCCATAGAACTTAAAATTTAGTAACGGGAGTTTTTTGTTCTAATCTTGACCTTAACACCGCAAGCGAGAAATCGTCTTTGTCCTTTTTTAAGTCTTGGTCTAAATCTTTGTTTGATGCACACAGTTCTTCTGAACCGTACTTGCAACTGTCTTTTCTCTTTTACTACTTGAGTACGATGTATCACAACTCTCTAAGAGCTTGCTGAAGGTAGATAGACATACTTATCAAGCATCATTTCAAGAGTTTTTCAAAGCTGACTGATACAAAATGGCAAGAGATCTAAGAAATTTGTAAGTGACAACCAAGAATGTTCACACTTTTCTACGTTATCGCCGGCTAAATCGTTACCAGTCTATCGGACACTTTAAGGACGAACTAAGAGCACTTTAGGGCCCGAAAAAACCGATTTTCATTTGTTTGAAATTTTACTTCTATCGGAAATGGTTTGAATATATGATAAGCTAAATAAATACGCAAAAAAAACAGTCCTTCTCATAGGCACTTTAAGAAGAGAAGAGACACCAAGCTTAAGTTGTGCATGTCTGAAAAGCTATCCATGTATAATAAAACAAAAGATCATGAATTAATCAAAAAGGGCAAGAGGAGGAGTCCTACCCTAAAACTATCAATTTTCCGCACACTCCTTACGTCCCCCTCCCCCTTCCTCATCATGCACCTAGGAGGGGAGGTCAATTTTAGAAAGAGGGGTTCAAAATTCTCCCTACCTCTCTCCCACCGTCATCAAACCCTTCATGTAACCTTGAGGGAAGTGAAGTTTACAAAAGGAGGTGCACATTCTCCTTCCAACATCCCCCTCCCCCTTCCCCTCCACACACACACACACACACACACACACGCATGCGCCAAACCCCTGATACACCCTTGAGTGGAAGTCAAGTTTACATAAAGGGGTATATATGCTATCATCCCGCGAATGACTCGAGGAGCGGGGGCAAGTTTCCAAAGAGACTATGGCGCTGCGTCGGTGGGGGATATAACAAGATGATTTGGTTTTGTTAACTGAATTGAAAATGTGAATTGGCCACTGTAAAAGTTTCTAAAGAAGACATTTTGAGCGTTAGTACTCGAGGGCTAACATTCCAAATGTCAGCTTAGAAACTCTTTGCGGTGGCCAAGTTATATTAAATGGTTCATCTGATAAAACCAAATCAAATTAAATTTGCTTTTGAGTCACTGGCGTGTTCGGGCTTGTGGCGATTTGACCGATCGCTTTGATTGACAGGCTTCGTTTTCTTTTCCTTTCTCCTTTATTTTTGGTACGTACCTTTACTAAAGCAGATTTTTGTTTAGCCCCTCCTCCCCCCCCCCTACGTCCCCAAGCTCTGCCGTCCCTATAGAATTGTTACAGTTAAAGATATATTTTTACCGAGACACCAACATGAGATGAAAACGCAAACGATCGACAGACATTGTGCAGTCAGAGCGCGGGAGGGTTGAGTGAAAAAGTTGTGTTCCCTTGTCATAACAATCAGAATACTTGGTGTCATTTTGTCTGACTTTTATTTACTTGAAATTGCAAATCACTGTCATATCAATTAAAAGGTACTCTCTTCAAAAACCTCTCTCTTAGTCAAGAATCAAACATTAAACAAAGTTCTTTTACAAAAGATTCATCGATCCACCAAAAATATTCATACGTCCTTTTTTTATGCAACCACATATTACATTCTGAATTCGCTGTACAAAACTAAACGTCCTTTGGAACTTTACATCTATAACTATGACTCTCTTTTCCATTACCTTAAAACTGGTTTCATTTTTTTGTCTTAATTAGTCCCTATTTTCATTTGAATTTCAATTCTTATCACTTTCAATAGAACATTCTTATTGACCGGACATTATTTATGGACTGAGCGTGGAGGAGGGAGGGGAGATTTTTGTTCTGTCCCCATAAAATTCACTTGATCTCCCCCCTAAGGCTCTGTAAGATTCTTATCATACCCCCCCTTTTTCTCATTAGCAGTTAACTGGTAGCACATTCTCTATAGTCCCCTCCCCCCTTTATATTCTGTCGGCGACGACTGATTCCCCCTCTGTTCCCTCTGAAAACCATGTGATCATTTACCCCCTCCCTCCCCCCCCCAGGCGATAACTAATGACTGGTTCTGGTTGCTTGATCTCTACGTTGTCTTCACTATCATTTATATCTCAAACTCTTTTGACCTACACTGTTCAATTTTGTGATAGGCGATCGCGAATTGCATAGCATGGCATAAATTATTTTATCATATAACTTTGTTCGTACGTGCGTTATGATTGGTCAATTTAGGCAGGCCGTTTTTCACTACACGGCCCGCTAAATTCAAATGTCTGCGTGAATTGAAATCTTTCCTTTCTGTTTGAACTCAGAGATATGATAAATATCGTACTAAAACCTCGTTTTCCAGGTCCTTCCTGTAAGTTACAGAAACTCGTTTTTCCCTCGGATTTATGGCACGCGCACTTTGATCTTCCTTGCATTGGGCCATAAATCTGAACAGAAAAAACTTGGTCCGTAACTCAAGTACAAACCTCGAACTCGGTTAGTGAGACGCACATGCATGTTTTACTTAGATCCGTGTTTTTTAGAGCCTTTCGCATAGACACGAACTTTAGTGTTTTAAAGTGACTGACATGATATTTCAAAGGCGAATCGCATGCATACAGCGTATGTATATCTACATTACCAACTACAGTATAAACTATGATTCTTTTTATATACAACTGCATTTTTCTTGAACAAACATACGGTTCTCCTTATAAAGGCATTTGTCAATTCCCACCGGCACTGTCACACTTTCGTTCCCAGAACCTCAACCAAATGAGTATAGAGAGCCTAAGAACGAAATTTTTATGGTTTGATTTCAAAATCAAATCACCGCCCAGACAGAACGTCAGTGTCCCATATACAACTTCAACGCAATTAAACGAATTCGCAATATGCAAAACTTAGCTCAATTTCCCGACATCCAATGCTATGGAAACAAATGTCGTCGAACGTCGAAATATTCCATAAAGCACAAATTAGGAAATATCACGTTGTAGAATCAGTCTCGTAGTGACGTCAGAGAACTGTACCAATTCTATTAAAAACCTGTTGTGCTTCATTCATCTTACACACGAAAAGAGTCTAAGAAGAAGTTTACTGATTGGGTAAAAAAATAAATTGATGTGCCGCCTCCCTAAGGAGAAACGTAAGCTTGATCGAGAAAAAATTTCTGAACTGTAACAACTTTGAATACTATATATATCTATCCTACATCATTAATGTTCTAGTCTTTTCACTGCCATGACATTTTATCCAGCAATCTGCAGATCTAAGGCCCGTGAAAAAGATGAGCAGGTATCTTGCTCAATGTGAATGAAAATTGTCTCATCTCTTCGTAAGGCGCCATTTTTTCTCTTATTTCTGCCTCACGTCTTCCCCCACCCCACCCCCCTTCGCTCTTTGGCCTTCTCTTGCATACAATAAGGTCGTGTGCCATGGGAATCAAACGCTTTAACTGAAACCAAATTTTTTCTAAATATAAGCGTTAGAACACTTAATCAACCATTTTTGTTTGAAACGAGGCAATTCCACTCATTACCAGACTTCTCCGCGTTGACGAGTTGAAGGAGGACAACATGGCGACCGTGATCGTCATGTCGCGCTCTTCTGACCCAACTTTGAGAATAAGATGCTGTGGTGACTGAAATTGATGTGACGATAAACCAGCCGAATTAATCCTTCAACTCCCATAAGTGATCAAGAAGGAATTTCTCCTTACAATATCAATACAATAACAAGCAGACAAGTGATAAGAATGAAAGAGAAATATCAATCAGGGGATTATCAGTTGATCCAAAAACAAATTCTCCAAACTAACATCATAAGATTTGTATGGCAGACAGAAAGGAGAATTACTAATGAGATCTGGGGAGTGAAAGGGTTAACCCTTTGCACCCTTACATCATTATGCATATTCTCCATACTGTTCTCTATACATTTCTTCAAGTGCCGACAAGGAGAAACTGTTTAACAATCAAGAGCTTCTCTAGTTGGTGATCATTTCCTATATTCTCATGACCTTAATGCATGATCCGTAGGTGATATTGTGGGGAGAAATTAGATGCTAGTCACTCTTAGGGTTTAAAGTGTTAAGGCACCAAATGTGACAGCGGTTGCCACTGGTGTTTTTTATTTCCCACTTTTTTTCTCTTAACTTTCTTTCTTTTTGGTTGATGCCTACAAGAAAAAGGCCAAAACCTTCAAACAACTCAGCCAAACTGAAAGCCTTGATCCCAATAAAACACGACCTTAATTTTATAATGGGTCGAAATAAAAGCCGGTTACCAGTGCTCTACTGCTACTTATAACGGCCGATTTACACGGTGCAACTATGACGCATGCAACAAGCTTGCAACACTGCATACTCCCTTGGGGCCATTTGCACGTGCACAAGCCAAAATCGCGTAAAAAATTCCTCTCCCTCTCACAAAAACTTGCCGGCTTTCGAAAAGGAATTCTTCTTCACTCCTGAGCGAAATTAATTTCTGCCTCCTCTTCTGAAAGAGTTATCTTCGCTTTGTATTCGACAACTAACTTTGCTCTGTATTCGACAACTAACGAACAGCAGCAACTTCGTCCGTGATTATGATGCAAGAAAACTTCACTTTCCTCCCCCTACTCAGTAGAAATTTTTCACAATATAATTCATATTCATCGATTTCGGCTACGGTTGTCGCAGCGGTTAAAAAATGTTTTTCAAAACATGTTTTAAAATCCTACGACATTTTTGAGACGTATGCGACAGTCGTAAGCGAGTTGCAGGTTTGATTTAGACGAAATAATTCGTTTCGTAGGCCTGTCGTGGGCTTGTTGCACGCGACAAAGTCGTACGGCGTAAATCGGCCTTAAAAGATTTTACCACCCGCGTCGGCGGGGAGGCGCTCGTGTTAAAGTTTCGCTTTGTGACTTCTTCTCGCGCACAGACATCTTTTACACCATCGGAAACCGCTCATGAAAAAAAAAGGAACAACAACACCTACCTTAATTACAACACGAACAAAACAAACGACTTAATAACCTTTCATTCACGATCCAAGACTCTGCGTCCATTTAACATTGTCCAACTCAAGTTTTCCGCTTAATCCATCTCGATAGTAGAGAGCTCCACCTTCGGGCGACTACCTGAGAGAAACGCCTTTTCTCCTCGCTTTCACGTACAGTTCCTTCTGCTTCATCAATTATCCCACGGCTTAAGAACTTGCACGCAGTCATCCCTCTTCATTTTCTTCAATACATTGATAAGGAAATCCACAGTGGAACTATCTTTTTGTCCCCATTGATAAAGCACGTTTTGAGTAGCCTCGTTGACCTCAAGTTCAAAGTTTTTTATCTCATTCGTAGTAAACTCGAGGTATCCCGCAAGTGTCACCCAGTTTTTGCTTGACTTGGGGTTTAAAAACTTTCCAAGTTCGATGAAAACATGAGCGGGAAGGTCCCGAACCAACGTTTTACCTGTGGTAGAGAAATCAAAAATATTATTATCATATTCTGAGACTTACAAAAAGTACCATTTTGCTGGTAGATACGGGAGGTCTGAGGAGAGGTCGCAGGTGCCCATACAGTTATGAGATTAGCTTAGGTAATTTGCAGACTTTAGGGGGAGAGGGGTGAGACATTTTACGGTCAGCCTTCGCCTTGGAAGGGTTAAGGTTCGTTTCCGTTAAAAATCAATAAATGACACAAGGTCCAGTCTCTAGCGTGGAGTTCAAATAAAAAAAAACGACTTTCACTTCGAAAATCCGAAGGTTGGCACCACTCCGCAGGTCAGCGGTACACGTTCGAAGTTAAGGAGTTTTAATCTCCACCTTGGTTTCTCGTGTTTTCTCATTAAACTAAACACCAAGAGACCGTCATTTTTTTGTAATCGGTGGAGTTGTGGCCGGGGCATAATTCAATTTTTGCTGTTGCTCAATGAAGCAGTTTTTACTCCTCGCCCCGCCTCAGAGAATTGCAGTGTTTAGTGGTGAAGGTAAGTTTTAACCCTTTAACTCCCAAAATCTTATTGTCAATTCTTCCCTCTAGCTGTAACAGATTTCCTTGTTATTAGTTTTGAGAATTTGGTGTTAGATGGGGATAAAAAAATCTACCCGATAAGTTTCAGAATTCTCATGACCTGTTTGCTGGATGATGTAGAGATATTAGAGATAGGGAGAAGTTTCATGTTAATCTCTTCTGAGAGTTGAAGGGTTGACAACGAGAAAATGGTAGCGAGCCGAGACAAAGAACTTGCCGAAAGAAAGGAACTAAACAGTGAGAAGTGAAAAATAAACAAAAACGAAACAAAACAACATAAAAGACAACAAAACAAACAAAACAAAGGAAAAAGGTAGAAAGTATTGAAAGTATGCATCATAAAAGAAACCAAGAATTTAAAATGGAAAGACGCTCTGACATTAAAAGAGACCGTCGATTAGGCATACAGCGAGTTGAACAAATTTCTTGATCCAGCTGCCCATTTTATGTGAAAAAATAATATTTTAAACCTATTCTGTGTCAAAGTCATGATACGATTATACATGACTCTGTCGGAATAGAGTTGAATTATTGTTTTTTCACATTAAATCTAGCGTGAACTATAACTTAGTTTTGTAATAATTTCCATTCTCGGTTCTTCCTTATTCCTTCTTTATTCAAATATGTCTGTAGATGTTCTGGATTATGGATGACGCCCATGCGTTCTTCAACAATCCTTTAGTTTCACACACATTGTAATATCCAGTTAGAACTAATGCAAAGTATGAAAATTACTTCGATCACGAATAGGATTACAGGAAATGCTAAATAGCAATAGGCCTTGGATAAAAAAAGATTTGAACTATGGAAAATAATCAACTAAAAATTGTCCGGTTCAAAAATGTCACACCACACACAGAACGAATTGTCACGAAAGTGTCACGCGGCAACGCGCGCTTCTTCTAACTCCTTAAGGATTATTTTGAATACAGACCGAGCTCTTTCCCATTTGAGACATACTTACTTTTGCCGTTGCTTACGCTGACGCCCTGTAACGAGCCACTACTGCCCTGAGAGTCAGAATCTCGTTGATGACTATTTGGTCTCGTGGAGTAGGCCGTCCGCCTTCCTCCAAGTCCGTACGAAGATCGCGCGTGAGCTGGTGTCTCCGATGAGGTGGGCGGCACAAAGTCATATTTCGCTTCCTCCATTTCTAAAACAATTACAACGACAACAGCGAATTTGTTAAAGATTCTGTCTCTCAGTCCCTCTCAGGATAACAGCCAGAGGAAAGAAGAAAGAGATTCTAATATAGCGTTAGTTTAGTTTTCAACGCTGTTGACTGTCAAATTTTATTTCTGTTCTATTCTGGAAAACGTGATTTATTTAGCAGAGATCGCGTGGTGCACGTAAATGAGTGTATGGGCGATTTTTATCGGTAAACTTCGAGCCAGAATTGAACAAATGTCCATCATTTAGCATACTTCACTAGCTACGCGTTGTTAAAAGTTTTCATTGCATTTTCCCAGGATTAAAATTCATACAGAGTTATATTCCGTAGAGGCGAAAACAAGGGATTGCATTGTTTCTTCATGGTTTCGCAAAGCGTTTGGTCGAAAAAGCTTGCGTTATCCTCTCAGTCAGTAAGGAAGCAGAACTCAAATCAGCATTCTGTCAATATCACCACGTCCTACAGTTTTAAATAGCGTCCGATCTCCTCTTCAAGCGTAATATGTGTAGGTGTCAACGAGAAACAGGTAAACATACAAAATATTTGCTGTCAGGATTCTCGTTCGCGGACAACGCAAAATTTGTCGTTTTCACTTTGTTGCTAGGCAGATGAGAATTTTAAAGAAATCTACAACGTGTTTCAAAAAAAACACGTGGGGTGCTATTTTCCTCCTCATTAAATCGTTTCATTCGCAACTTTTTCGTTAGTGTCGCCGTTCTGTTTGGTATAAGAGCCCTAATGTTTACTAAAAGCAATCCTTTATAGGACTTCGCTCAGCCTGACGATCTGGCCTCAAAAGAAATTTTTTTTTTCTTACCTTGAGGGTCATGAGCCTGGTTTCCTCCATGCCGATTTTGTTTCTTCCAGTAATAGTAGAAAGCCACAGCAATTAGAACGAGAAGCAACACAGCGATAACGATACGAATGATATATGTTATGGAGTTAGATGTTACTTTCTCTACGGGGCTTAATGAACGTCCAGCATTGGTTGGTGCCGAAGGCGCTCGAGAGACTGCAGTGATTGAAATAAAGCGTAAGTATATATCTGCGTTACTGACCAAATGTGAGGTCAAGATAGCAGGTTAAGAACTCAATAGCCACTTTTGTTCTAAAAAACCTCCGATCCCAACAACATTTTTGGGAAACTTTACGAGACTGATTCTCAAAGGAAAGTCTTTGAATTTCAACGACAAACACTTGCAATAGCTATGGGAACAAAAATGGCGATAGCTTTTGCAGTCGTATTCATGGCTCAAATTGAGAAACAGCTTCTAACTAGCTACAAGCCACATAAATCATTTCTTTGGAAAATATACATTGATGACATTTTTTGTGTGTGGACCATTCCCGAAACCGAAATCAACAAATTCAATAATTTGGTAACTCATTGCACGCCAGTTTTAGATTCACGCACGAAATTTCATCAGCAAAAATTGTTTTCCTCGATACTGAAGTTTTTACAGGACCGAGATTTACCGATAGCAAAATCCTTGATTTTTAAACATAATGCGAGCCGACAGAAACGTTCCAATATACACACTTCTCTTCACGCCACCTTCTCAGTGTTAAGAAGGGTTTTTGTAAAATGAGAGGCACTACGCTTACTGAGAACAAACTCGGTTGAAGAACTTAACTTGCCTTGTAGAACGAAGCTACCCTCAGGACCTTGTCGAAAAGGTCTTAGCCGATGCACAATTCTCATCACGCAACACGGCTTTGACAAACCAACCGAAATCATTTAAAAAGATTTTGACATTCGTTAGGACTTTCAACCTTGCTTACCAGAATCTCAAAAAGATTTTTATGAAACACTGGCAACTTATTTCAGGCAACAATAACTAGGCGCTAATATATCCTAATCCACCAATTGTTGCCTATCGGAAGGTCAGGTCTCTGAAATATTCGCTTCTTAGAGAACGACTTCCTTCACTTTAATTACACAACAGCATTTTAGAAGTTATACACGATAAAGGTTTAGTGAAAATACTTCAAGACAATTTCATCCCTTCCCCTCTAATAAATCCTACTTCCTTCGAATAACTCCACTTTCAGATTCTGCGCTTCCACGAAACACGGAAAGCGTAGGCCGAAGGTTTAATTTCTGGGGACTCAGGACTTTTTTTTTCGTCGTAAGCTCGTGACAAGACGGGAACCCCTTCTTTTGCTGCACAGATTTTTCATGCTGCACAGAGACGCTAATGAGCACGAAATTTATCAAAAAACTGAATATGACATGATTAGATAATGCAAACGAGCAACACCGCTCTCTTAACATGAATATTCGGTCCCTTGGGGTGGGGGGCAGGGATTTGTGGTGTGTGAAAGGTGCTAAAAACGGCTATGAAATGATACAGAGCTTAATAGCCTGCCCTTTTTTCATAGATTGCAGAATTAATTTGTGACAAAAGGTACCTAAAGTGACTCTAAGTCGCTTGGTTACTGATCAGAAATGAACACTGAAATTTGCAACTCCGATGTATTGCTCCCCGTCATTCATAGCGCACAAAAGTAAAAACAAAAACCTTAATCCTTTTACCCCTTGGAGTGATTAGCATCTAATTTCTCCTTACAATATCACCCCTGAATCTAACATTAAGGTCATGAGAATAAAGAAAATGATTATCAACCAAAGAAACTCTTGATTGTTAAACAAATTCTCCTTATCAGCACCTTGAAAAATGTATAGAGAACAGTATGGAGAATATGCATACTGATATTAGGGTGTAAAGGTAAATTATTGAGTAAATAAAGAAAAAGAGTCGTCTGTTTGAAGCGTATAAAGTACCACAGCATGTCTCATTAATTGAGCGCGCAAATCATGTCCGCCTCGACAACCCTCGATCTCAAGTAGTTCATTCTATCAACGCAAAATCCGAACCAAAGGGATTGTTATAAGGTTTACAGTTGAATTATCTGAATTACACCTCAGTTCTAGTTATGACTAAACCAAGTTCGTTTCTATGCAAACCCAAAACAAGTCGTCAAATTCAAGGTATTTGCAGTACAACACAGTTATACTGATGAGGTCCAAGGTTAAGGTGGCCGAACGAAAATCAAAAGAGGGTAAGTTTGATGGCAAGTTTTCTAAATAAGGTTTGGCCTTTAGATACTAGGAAATACTAATGCGCTATCATTCAATCAAGGGTACAGCACATTGTGCCTCCCCTCCCACTTGTCAAGTTCTTCTGTTAGAGATGCCATTCATACTTCTCATATGAAAAGAAAAAGCATCCTCTGCTTGATTCTCCTCCCCCCAACCCCCTCCCCACTACTTTCATGCCTCCCCTCCCACCTGTCAAGTTCTTATGTTAGATGTGCCATTCATACTTCTTACATGAAAAGAAATAGCATCGTCTTTTTGATTCTCCTCCTTCCCCACCCCCCCGCCCCCTCTCCAACCACCCACCTCTCGTCACTACCTCATGAAAAGAGAATTATAAATCAGCCAAGTGCAATATCGCTTTTGATCTGAAGTGATTGCTGGCCCTGTCTCCTATGATTTAATTTCATAACCTAACAACACTGGCAGCAGTATACCAATAAATGTGGGTAGACATAAAAATTATCTCGGGAGCCAAACGATCCACTAAGATTACTGATCACTTCACGTGCACCTCCGCTAATGTTATCTATTACAGAACGTGCAATGTGATTAGATCTTGAGGGAGGACTCGGCATTTCTATCCGAGTAAATCGGAGATCTACAGCTCCTGTGTATTGCTCTCCGTTTTCCTCCCGTAAGATTTCCTTTCGATCATCATCTCACATTGTGTTGTAGCGATTTCGATTAGTCTCACATGACTCCTGGTTCTTAATCTGAACGTAACTCTCTGTCATTGTAAAGGATTGTGAATCCGCAAGTGGAGAACGAAAAAAATGGGATACTTTGTTCGAGAGATTCAGAAGCTAAAAGATCTTTGCCGAATTAAAAACTGTCCTTGTCACTGCCTGCTTCTGATGACACGATTTTCAAGGGCAAGTTTGTGTTGTTGATAAACTGCACGCCATATAGAGGACAATCGTATTTCTCAAAATGAAGACGGACACGCTGCTTTGAAAGTGTCATAACCGCATTCTGAACGACATTATTAGAAGACATTGGAGACAAGTTTAAGCTGCGCTTAACCTCCTCACCTCTATCCACCCCTCTCGGGTTTCTGGATCAAGATCTTTGTTGACTTCCCGAAGTGAACAACAAATTCTGTGTATACTTCAGGGGACTCACAAGAACAACTCAGTGGGACGATGAAATTTTATCACTTTCCGAATCATGTTTCATGTCAAATCCCGTTGGAATAACGACTAAAACGTCTTCTTTCAAGCAAGTGATTCTGCAGATGCATTTCATCTGCTTTTCCTTTCAGGATATGAGGTCAGTAAAAATTTGGAGAAACGAATTTAAAGCAGCTGAAAATTTGCTGTTCACTCAGGCAGTCGCCAAAAACGGCTTCGTGTTTTGAAATTGCATCGGAAGTTAAATACGCAGTCACATACCGACACTCGGGATAATTTGAAAATTTTCATGTGAACATAGCATATGCACAAGTGAACGTGCTCTGTAGTTTTCCGTCTTCAATAGCTGTCCTAATAGTCGGTAAAGGAAAATACCACAAAGTATTCCATATTAAGTATAATTATATTTATTATATTTGTTATATTTGTGCCAATTTCACTTATTTTCTTTTATTTTCGCTTGAGCATACGGGAGATCTTGACTGAGTCACGTAGATAAGCAATCAATCATGCCTATTAATTTATTTAATTTATTTGATTCATTTTGAGCTGATCCTTGATTCTTGATCCTCGATCCTCAATCCAGTGATCTAGTGATCCTTGATCTAGTTTTTCCAGGAAAAATTGACTGTTGCCGCCATAGAGAGATGTGCATCTCCCGGAAACTCGCTTCTAGTCTTCCTCGGTTATTCTTCTCACATTAGACAAAAGCCCGGAAATCATTCCTGCAGAAGTTTTCAACATGGCTCAGGTGCGGGTAGTATGTGGTTGATCTCTAATTCGAAAGACTTCTTGGACGTTTGTAAGCGGACGATTGTCGCCAAGGTAAAGTCATTTGTTTACCATATACATACTTTTTAACTTGATTCATGTTATGGCAAGGAAAGGACTTGTCTTAACCCTCGTAGCTTAGTGCTTCGGTCAGCACTTCCTGTTGAAGAGATGCTCGTATTTTTCGAATTGGAGCTCATAGTTACCCTTGATGTCACTTCATTCAGTAGTTTTTGATGATGATTCACTTAGTTGCCATTATTTTTTCGAATTTGGCTGGATTCGTTCGGCTAGTAGATATTAAATTTTTGTTTTAAAAGACAAATGGCTTCAACTCATGGATTAGTGGTTCTGTCAGATCCTTCGGTTTGTTTGCGGAAGAGATGGTCGTATTTTACGAATTGGAGCTCATAGTTACTCTTGATATCACTGTATTCGGTAGTTTTTGATGTTGATTCACTTATTTGTTATCATTTTGTCGAATCTGGCTGGATTCGCTTGACTACAAGCTGAGAAATATGTTTTAAAAGACAAATGATTTGAACTCGTAATGCTTCGGTCAGCACCTTCTGCATGTTTGTTTGAGACATCTTCGTATTCGCCAACTATTAGTTTATTTGTGTCGAGACCAACTTATTATTTTATATTGTTTGACCGAGTATCTATTATTTTGCCCGAATCTGGTTAATTTACTTCTACTTCTACTCTATCAATTGATGAAGCGTATTGATCAACGCATCACATCAATATAAGTACAATAAAGTAGTAAATAAATAATAAATAAACACTAATAATAAAGTATATATCTGTGATAAGAGAAATTTTTTAAAACCACTTCCCAGTTTTGATAAGATGGTCACACAGAGCAGCCTTAAATTTTAAATTATCATCTATATTTACAATGTCGCCTGGAAGTCTATTCCATTGGTTGACTGACCACAGAAAAAAGCTGTATGCTTATTGATTGCAATTTGAATGTGGTCTTATGAAGGTTTTTAAGTTACCACTCCTTGAAGTATGAGGTAAAGGAGTAAGATATGAATCTTTGTCAATATCAACAGTTTGATAACCAATCTGGTGAAACATTGATAATTGAGAGAGAATTCATCTTCCTTTGAGAGATGGCCACTCCAATTTATTGAACATATCAGTTACTACTCCTGGTTCCTTGGAATAATTATTGAAACAAAGCCTAGCTACTGAATGTTGGATCATATCAAGATGATGTATATCTTTTTTTAAATATGGATACCAGGCAGAATTTGCATATTCAATCTTAGGCCTAACTAAACTATCATAAAGCTTGGATTTACAGTCTACAGAGACATTTCTAAAGTTCCTCCTAATGATACCAAGAGTTTGTTTGGCACTTGATGTTATAATTATACACAATATGCTCTGAACATTTAAGGTCTTCATAAAGTATCACACCTAAGTAGGAATGGTGATGGACTTTAGTTAGTACATGATTTTTAAGAACATATGTTGTATCTAAATTAGATTTTTTAGTGGAGAAGCAGATGGTGTGGCATTTATCAACGTTGAATCTTTCTCCCGTTTAGTTAACGCATCTAAATCTTTCTGTATGTTTTGGCAGTCAACTGGACTATTAATACTATGATATAGGAAACAGTCATCTACAAACATATCTCATTGTTGATGAAATACATAAGGGCAAGTCAGGAACAGTAATAGCCC